CCAACCATATCTCTTAATATGAGCTGCTATAAAACTCCGGTCACTTTTTATATACCGGTACCTACTTTACAATAGAGGACAAGCGGTTGATCAAAGCTAGATGTGTATAAGAGACAGGCCACAAGACTGTACATGCACAGCTATAAGACTGTGCACAACACACGAAACGTTCGTTTGTTTATCGGTGAACATAAGAGTATATAATATATAAATAATACATTACCGGGGTTAAGATAATGGCAAGATATTGTCAGGGTTAAGATAATCTGTACAGATAAAATACGGTGCATTGGATGACCTGGGCAGCTACTAGTCGTGTACTGTACACGGTGTGGTACAGGTACCTATATATTACTGCCTACAAACGCATAATAATCACACTAAACTCTCTCATCACTTAATTAAATAAAAGCTAAACAGTCTCTCTCAATTATCAGTTTAATAACTGGCGTGTAAACCGAACGTGAACACTCAATGACCCGCTGGGTGTGTAGTATACAAGGTACACAGCGGTGGAGGGAACGAATGCAGTGCGTGAAATAACACAGCACACACAGTCCTGTATCATAGTTGAACTAGTATAAGGTTGACCTTTGAGAATCTATTTTTGTGGATGTAGTTCGTTGTTCGCATGTGACGTCACTGATCTCAGTGACGTCACGGGCATTAACCAATCACCGAAATGCGATCAAACCAGTCAACCAATCCGTCATGGGAATGAAGGATTGGTTGATAATAATAGATTGGTTGATAGGAAATAATCGTGCACGTAGAGGATATAATCGTGCATGTAGAGGAAATAATCGTGCACGTAGAGGAAATAAAAAGACGTGAAAGCTCGGGTAAACAGGTAAATTACCGTGAAATTTACGGCGTAACCGTTAATTTTACGTGGCTGGCATACAAAATGTGATGACAGTGTCATGAGTCGAACAATTCAAATATAGATAATACGATCAAAATATCAAATACGATCAATTCAGTCAACCAATCGGTCATGGGAATGACGGGTTTGTTTACGTTTCTCGATCTCAGTGTCTTAATTAATAAGATAGCTGAACTGAAAGACGGAAATAACCGTGGGTCAACCTTGTATAGTTCAACCATGGTCCTGTATAGGCCACACAGCGCACCTGTATGGACTGAGCAACGCTGTCGTAGTCGCTGAGTCCCTCCTTGAATGCAAATTACGCATCGTAAATACACTTACACAGAGTCCACTAATAGTATACATGTATTAAAATACTCCTATCGTATATAGCAGGGAATAAATGCAAATAGCAAGCTTTAGAGGCAGCTTGTTAAGGGTTTAGTTAAGGGGAAACAGGCTCTACTGTCTTGTTAAGGGTTTAGTTAAGGGGAGACAGGCTCTCCTGTCTTGTTAAGGGTTTAGTTAAGGGGAGACAGGCTCACCTGTCTTGTTAAGGGTTTAGTTAAGGGAAGACAGGCTCTACTGTCTTGTTAAGGGTTTAGTTAAGGGGAGACAGGATCACCTGTCTTGTTAAGGGTTAATTAATTAATTAGTTAAGGGGAAAACAGGCTCACCTGTCTTGACGGGAAGACAGAGGGCGGCCTGTACCCCAGGAGGGCGTCGTCTAGGGGCATGCTGTCGTCCAGAGGGTCACGTTCCTGTCAGGAACACGAGTTAGCATCAAGGAACATTTACGAGATGTATATAAATATAGCAAAATATGAAATTCAGATAATTTGTTATTCAAGGAACATCTACGAGACGTTAGACAATTTAGTAGCAAAATATGAAACTCAGATAATTTGTTTTTCAAGGAACATCTACCAGACGTAAGACAATTTAAGTAGCAAAATATGAAATTCAGAGAATTTGTTTTAAAATGAATCGCGTAGTCGTACTTAATACGTCTGAGGTCAACGGGTACGACCAATTCGGCCAGTGAATTTTAAAATAAACATAAAAAATATTTGATACTTTTAAGTCCCTTTGATATAGTTGCTGTACGGTATACGATTGGGTGTTAGAAGTTGCTGTTAGAATGAAGGAATACCTGTCTAAACGCTATTCGCACGTTATTACTGAGATCTGAAGCGGGGAAAATTATTCATTGTTTCTGCATTGAACACATTAGAAAAATTATTGCAGAGAATTATTTCTGCACATATCTGAAAATATGCGTAATAATTTTCCGTTGTGATATTCTCCTCAGTAGAGACCGCTATGACAATTGAATAAACTAATTGGTCCAAATTAGACGTAGGGTCGTAGGCCTTCGAAATCTTTTTTATTGAATAAAATTAGAAAATTTCCCCTAATGTTGTGGGTTACAGGCAACCCACCTGGGTGAGCTGGTGGTGGTAGTAGCAGGCAACCCACCTGGGTGAGCTGGTGGTGGTAGTAGCAGGCAACCCACCTGGGTGAGCTGGTGGTGGTAGTAGCAGGCAACCCACCTGGGTGAGCTGGTGGTGGTAGTAGCAGGCAACCCACCTGGGTGAGCTGGTGGTGGTAGTAGCAGGCAACCCACCTGGGTGAGCTGGTGGTGGTAGTAGCAGGCAACCCACCTGGGTGAGCTGGTGGTGGTAGTAGCAGGCAACCCACCTGGGTGAGCTGGTGGTGGTAGTAGCAGGCAACCCACCTGGGTGAGCTGGTGGTGGTAGTAGCAGGCAACCCACCTGGGTGAGCTGGTGGTGGTAGTAGCAGGCAACCCACCTGGGTGAGCTGGTGGTGGTAGTAGCAGGCAACCCACCTGGGTGAGCTGGTGGTGGTAGTAGCAGGCAACCCACCTGGGTGAGCTGGTGGTGGTAGTAGCAGGCAACCCACCTGGGTGAGCTGGTGGTGGTNACAGGGGACCAAGGGACGTGAGGGGGGACCGAGAAATGCCAATAACAACAACGCTGGCACAGCGTCCCTAAAAAGACGAAAAAGCTCGGGGAAACAGGTAAATTACCGTGAAATTAACGGCGTCACCGTTAATTTTACGTGGCTGGCATAAAAAATGTAATGACAGTGTCATGAGTCGAACAATTCAAATATAAATAAATGAAACTGCCTCGCAACCACTGAGAAAAATTAGCGAAGCGTGTTAAAAAAATTTGGGTTTGGTTATGCACGCTTCATCACTTAAAACTTTTGCAAAAAAGTGTTATCCTACGTACATTTTTAAATAGAGCGATTTTGCAACATATTAAGTTGAGAGGGAGCAGTGTTAGTGACTCCTAGATGTGGTGATGGTAATGTTGGTTAGAGAAGGTGATGAAAAACATGGAGATAGAATAAATGAACATAGAAGGTTAAAAAGACATTGAAAGCAAGAAACGTAAACAGGAAGCATGAGAAGGCAGGAGAAGGTATGACAACAGAAGGCAAAAGAAGGCACGCGAAGGCAAGAGAAGGCAACAGAAGGCAAGGAAAGGCAGGATAATGCAAGGGAAGGTAAGTGAATGCTAGAGAAGGCAACAGAATGCAAGAGAAGGCAAGAGAAGGCAACAGAATGCAAGAGAAGGCAAAATAAATCAACACAACTGACCTGGACGAACAGGGCGTTGTATTGCTGTAGGTGCCAAAGTGACGACAAAGACGAGGCATGAGACACACACCGACAACAGCAACAGAAACACAAACTTTAATGAAGAAATAATCGTGCACGTAGAAGAAATAATCGTGCACGTAGAAGAAATAATCGTACACGTAGAGAATATAATCGTGCACGTAGAGGACATAATCGTGCACGTAGAGGAAATAATCGTGCACGTAGAGGAAATAATCGTACACGTAGAGGATATAATCGTGCACGTAGAGGAAATAATCGTGCACGTAGAGGAAATAATTGTGCACGTAGAGGAAATAATCGTGGACGTAGAGGAAATAATCGTGGACGTAGAGGATATAATCGTGCACGTAGAGGAAATAATCGTGCACGTAGAGGATATAATCGTGCACGTAGAGGAAATAATCGTGCACGTAGAGGAAATAATCGTGCACGTAGAGGAAATAATCGTGCACGTAGAGGAAATAATCGTGCANATGCCCCACACACTCACGGGATGCCCAGCCACGTCATGCCCCACACACTCACGGGATGCCCCACACACTCATGGGACTGTCTCTTATACACATCTAGATGTGTATAAGAGACAGGTATAGTTATAGGAAGAAATGGCCACATAAATTATAGGAAGAAATGGACACGTCAATTATAGGAAGAAATGGCCACATAAATTATAGGAAGAAATGGACACGTAAATTATAGGAAGAAATGGCCACATAAATTATAGGAAGAAATGGACACGTCAATTATAGGAAGAAATGGCCACATAAATTATAGGAAGAAATGGACACGTAAATTATAGGAAGAAATGGCCACATAAAATATAGGAAGAAATGGACACGTAAATTATAGGAAGAAATGGCCACATAAATTATAGGAAGAAATGGACACGTCAATTATAGGAAGAAATGGCCACATAAATTATAGGAAGAAATGGACACGTAAATTATAGGAAGAAATGGACATATAAATTATAGAAAGAAATGGACACATTAATTATAGGATGTCAAAGCATTGTAAATTATAGGAAATTTATTTATTTATTGTAGCAGCAGCCACATTCATGGAACCACAGCAGCCATATGGTATAGCAGAGTGCAGTACCGGTATAGTACAGTACAGTATGGTACAGTATGATATAGTACAGTACACTAGTGTGCAGTATGGTACAGTATAGTGCAGTAGAGTAGAGTATAGTGGTACCTACCATGCAGTGCATGAACATCAGGAGGAACCCGCGTATATTCTAGAGTGCAGTATAGTGCAGTAGAGTACAGTATGGTACAGTACAGTACAGTATAGTACAGTATGGTACAGTAGAGTGCAGTGTGCTGCAGTATGGTACAGTAGAGTGCAATGTGCTGCAGTATGGTACAGTAGAGTGCAGTATGGTACTGTACAGTACAGTATAGTGCAGTACAGTGGAGAGCTGCGGGACTCACGTTGCGGATGGGGTGGAATTGGTTGAGGTGATGTGTCTCCTCCTCCTCCACATCCACCCTGCACACATACATGTACGTTACTACCGCCACACATACGTTATACTGCGTTACCTGTTGCCTGCACGTACGTTACTACCAGAGGTGGGCAGTAGCGCGCTACATGTAGCGGCCGCTACTAGCGGCCGCTACATTTTCAGTAGCGGTAGCGGTAGCGGCTCTACATTTAAGGCAATGTAGCGGCTGTCTCTTATACACATCTAGATGTGTATAAGAGACAGGGTCAGTGGTGGTGAGGGNATGCCCAGCCACGTCATCATCTGCGTCGTCATGCCCCACACACTCACGGGATGCCCAGCCACGTCATCATCTGCGTCGTCATGCCCCACACACTCACGGGATGCCCAGCCACGTCATCATCTGCGTCGTCATGCCCCACACACTCACGGGATGCCCAGCCACGTCATCATCTGCGTCGTCATGCCCCACACACTCACGGGATGCCCAGCCACGTCATCATCTGCGTCGTCATGCCCCACACACTCACGGGATGCCCAGCCACGTCATCATCTGCGTCGTCATGCCCCACACACTCACGGGATGCCCAGCCACGTCATCATCTGCGTCGTCATGCCCCACACACTCACGGGATGCCCAGCCACGTCATCATCTGCGTCGTCATGCCCCACACACTCACGGGATGCCCAGCCACGTCATCATCTGCGTCGTCATGCCCCACACACTCACGGGATGCCCAGCCACGTCATCATCTGCGTCGTCATGCCCCACACACTCACGGGATGCCCAGCCACGTCATCATCTGCGTCGTCATGCCCCACACACTCACGGGATGCCCAGCCACGTCATCATCTGCGTCGTCATGCCCCACACACTCACGGGATGCCCAGCCACGTCATCATCTGCGTCGTCATGCCCCACACACTCACGGGATGCCCAGCCACGTCATCATCTGCGTCGTCATGCCCCACACACTCACGGGATGCCCAGCCACGTCATCATCTGCGTCGTCATGCCCCACACACTCACGGGATGCCCAGCCACGTCATCATCTGCGTCGTCATGCCCCACACACTCACGGGATGCCCAGCCACGTCATCATCTGCGTCGTCATGCCCCACACACTCACGGGATGCCCAGCCACGTCATCATCTGCGTCGTCATGCCCCACACACTCACGGGATGCCCAGCCACGTCATCATCTGCGTCGTCATGCCCCACACACTCACGGGATGCCCAGCCACGTCATCATCCACGTCGTCATGCCCCACACACTCACGGGATGCCCAGCCACGTCATCATCTGCGTCGTCATGCCCCCCACGAGAATGACGGTCACGATGACGATGAGGGACGTGGTCGTGATGATGGCTTTACGCGCGTCGGTGCTGGCGTTGCGTAGCGCCAGCGCGAACGCCATCGCCCCGCGTAGGCCTGCGGTGGGGGAGGGGCTGTTAGTGTCACGTAGGCCTACGGTGATGATACGTTTGTGGTTGATGTTGAAAATGTTACTATATATATACAAAAAACTTAGGATCTAATATGAATATTTCATGGCACACAAGGCAAAAGTAATACATGTATAACACATTTTAACACTGAAAACAAACTGAAAACGACGGCTGTATATTGTTTGTAATACGCAAGATACGCAAGTCAAGACACCGAACACATGACAACACACGGGACACATGACACACACAACACACAAGACACACCAGAAAACACAACCATATGCATGAAGCTGGCAGGACATACACAGCACACAACAAACAACACACAACACACCAGAGAACACAAGCATGTAACAAACTACACACAAGACACACAACAAAGAACACACAGCATACAAAAAACAACACACAACACACCAGAGAACACAAGCATATGCATGAAGCTGGCAGGACACACACAGCACACAACAAACAACACACACAAAGCACTCAAGACACACAATAAACAACACACACACACACACAACACAAAAACACACACAACACACCAGAGAAGACAAGCATATGCATGAAGCTGGCAGGTATGCGCGGGTTCCTCCTGATGTTCATGATGCCGGAGAGGATGTAGATGTTGCACGCGCGTCCCACGATGATGGCGATGAAGGAGAACACGATGAAGTCCAGCTCCCAGAGATGATGTTCGAAGGTGAACATGGACACGCCGATGTAGCTGAAGATGAAGTTCTCAGAGAGNGTCATTTTAGATCCGCAGGCTGTTTTATAATAAGAACAACAGTCCACGGGCCTATTTCTTCAATGCCGACACTTCTATTCTATTCTAAGAAGAAAATTACAAGTAGAGAGGAATTGATTGACTAAATTTTTAGTACCATCATGGAAATTGTTTATTAGGCCTCCTCAATCAACAATTTGATAATCAAAACTTCCTGATAGAAAAATTATGATGAAATTGTTGAATAATGTTCACCTAGAGACTAATTATTTATTGTTAAACTTCAAGGACTGAGAAAGATTCTAGGGGAGCAATGAAGACTTCATGACTGAAGGCCATAAAAATGTAGCATAATTAGTATAAATATATTTATAAAAGAGCCTAAGAAGGGCATATTTATATCAAGTTTAGGTTTAATCATAAACTTTTTCAGCTAACAACCCAGGTAAAGTCATAGATGTGTATAAGAGACAGAGCCCACCTAGACATGACCTTAGCCCACCTAGATATGCCTCTAGCCCACCTAGACATGACGATGGCCACGGCATCGTTAAGGATGCTCTCTATAGCCCACCTAGACATGCCCCTAGCCCACCTACACATGCCTCTAGCCCACCTAGACATGACGATAGTCCACCTACACATGCCTCTAGCCCACCTAGACATGACGATAGTCCACCTAGACATGCCTATAGCCCACATAGACATGACGATGGCCACAGCATCGTTAAGGATGCTCTCTATAGCCCACCTAGACATGACGATGGCCACAGCATCGTTAAGGATGCCTCTATAGCCCACCTAGACATGACGATAGTCCACCTAGACATGTCCCTAGCCCACCTAGACATGACGATGGCCACAGCATCGTTAAGGATGCTCTCCCCGAAGACGAGGGCGTAGAGGTTGACGTCGACGCGGAGGTCGTTGAAGATGGCGATGACCGTGACGGGGTCCGTGGCTGAGATGAGCGTCCCGAACAACAGGCAGTCCGTGAACGTGAACAGAGGGTTCATGGACAACAGGAGGAGGCCGTACAGCAGCCCTCTGAGGGAACAGAGGGTTCATGGACAACAGGAGGAGGCCGTACAGCAGCCCTCTGAGGGAACAGAGGGTTCATGGACAACAGGAGGAGGCCGTACAGCAGCCCTCTGACGAAACAGAGGGTTCATGGACAGAGGACGCGTCCTTCCACACTGAGAAGGACGCTCACAAGAGAGGTTAGTACAGGGGAACTGCCCCCTATCTCCACCAGGAAGAGTGTCCCCTCATCCAAACTAGGGTGATGTTATAAGCAGAGGGAGCTTGGCACTCTCCCAGGAGAGGGTGTTAACCCCCAGCAGGGGTGGCAATCCCCCAGGAGAGGGTGTTACCCCCAGCAGGGGTGGCACTCCCCCAGGAGAGGGTGTTACCCCCCAGCAAGGGTGTTACCCCCAGCAGGGGTGTTACCCCCCAGCAGGGGTGGCACTCCCCCAGGAGAGGTTGTTACCCCCCAGCAGGAGTGGTAGTCCCNTGTTACACCCTCAGGGGAGGGTATAACACCCTGGCAGGGGGTGTAACACCCCCAGGGGAGGGGGTAACACCCCCAGGGGAGGGTAACACCCTCCCAGGGGTGTTACCCTCCCCTACCTAGGGGGAAGGTGTTACCCTCCCCTGGGTAACAGCAGGGGTGGCAGTCCCCCATCAGAAGGTGCAGACACTCACGCCACAGTGAAGGCTGAGATGGCTGTGCCGAGGAATGCATACGCAAAGATGGCGCCCAGGTTGTGGAAGAAGTGAAGCTGTAAAATAACATTTTGTCAATATAATAATAATAATGTCAAAAATTTTATTATACTACTACACATGCAACATGATTGAATTTGCGTCATTGTCATTTTAGAGCCTTGGGGTGTTTAATAATAATAAGAAATTTACAACTTCAGAGGAATTGGTTGAATACATTTTTAGTACTGGGATGGAAATTAGTTATTAGGCCTTCTCAATTAATAATATGAAAATCAAAATTTACTGATAGAAAAATCATGATGAATTGTTGACAAATGTTCACATAGAAAGTAATTTTTATTGCAAAACTTTAAGGACTGAGATAGATTCTTCTATGAACAACCTTGTTCATTGAAGACTTGATATCTGAAGCCATAAAAATGTAGCACGGTCTAAATCTATTCATAAAAGGTCCTATTTATTTTTAATCCAGAGCCTACACTTTCAAAAGAAGTTAAGAGATCGTAAGTTCATCAGCCAATCATTGACGGCCTTTCAAGCCAAATCCACCAATCATAGACAAGAAAATAGAGCGAAAGTACTTACGATCACTTAGCGAGTTTTGAAAGTATGGCCCCAGGTGAAGACTGAAGACATAAGTTCCTATTTTACCTTCTTGAGGCTGTATCCTGCATTGAAGATGATGGGCGGCAGGAGGATGTTGAAGAATATCTCGGGGTCAAATGTGGCCTGTAAACAAAACAATTGTTTAAATATAGAAATGTTTATTAATTTGGTACTGTAGGCTGTCATGAACACAATTGAACTGTCAAGCTCTCGTGATAAGGCAATGGATCATAAGATTTTTAAAGTGATCATTTGATAAAAAATTACCATGAAATTTACATTTTTGTTATTTTCAATGGCAATGCAGCAACTTTGAAATGGTTTCATAGAAAAATACTTTGAAAAAGATTCATTTAGAAGATTTCTATAAGAAAAAATGCAGCCACAAATATTACGAGGAAAGTTATTTCTAACTGCACCCTACCACATCACAACCTTGGAGTACCATCCATTTTCAAGCCACGTTAAATCCTATTACATCATTCATATATTATGAGACTATAACATATTACATCAGATAATAAATATGTGGCATCTGACAAACAGAATTCTGTGGAATGGGAGGAGGCAAGGAGGATTTTTGACCATCGGCATTCATTAGGAGAACATTGCAGCCTCAAAATAGTGGTTACACAGAATGGTTTAATAAAATATTTTCATTATTAATGGTAGTGAATAGTTGCAGAAGCCAAAAGTTTAGGAGAAGATGTGGTGAAGAAAGCACTCAAGTTCTGAGGTTGTTCAGAGATACTGTGGGCAACCTCTTCTTCATATTGCTTGTCATGGAGAAATTCTATCGTGAAAAATGATTGAATGAACCTTAGCAAAGGGGAGAGAAACATTCAAAAACATTTCACACTCAAGAATGGGTAGTAAACACATGAATGATAGATGGAGGGAAAGTTTCAAAAAATTTAAAACAGAGAAGTTTTACAAGGAAAGTTTAAAAAGCTAACAGTTTTTACATTGAATTGTTCTGTACACATCACCTTCTGGACGATCTCTGTCTCCTGAGCGTTGGGTATCTCTCCCCTGAAGAGGTACACATAGGTCCTGTTGAACACCTCTGGGTCTGCTCACAACACAATTGGGGTAACATACACAATATTAGGTATCTTGCCCTTAAAGCGGTACACGTAAGCGCTGTTAAGACATCTCTGGGTCTGCTCACGGCACCATGCCATCACACACTCATTACAGGTTGCCTCAAAGTGCCATTCATATTCAAGCCACATTAAATGCTATTACATTACTTCTATATTATTAGATTATAATATAGGTATCTGATATTAGATATATGGCATCTAGCAAATGAAATTCTGCAAAATGGTAAGAGAGAGGGATTTTGACCATCAGCAATCATTAGGAGAACATTGCAGCCTTAAAATAGTGGTACAGAATGGTTTAGTAATTTCTTTTCATTATTCATGAAAATGAAGAGTTGGAGAAGTCAAAAGTTTAGGAGAAGATGCGGTGAAGAAAGCGCTCACGTTCTGAGGTTGTTCAGAGATACTACAGGTGACCACTTCTCCATATTGCTTGTCATGGAGAAAATTCTAATGTGAAAAATGATTGAATGAGCCTTAGCAAAGAGGAGAGAAACGTTCAAAAACATTTCACACTCCAGAATGGACAGTAAATGTATGAATGATAGATAGAAAAGAATATAATAGAATAGAATACAAGTGTCAGCACTGAAGAAATAGGCCCATGGCCTGATGCTAATTCTTGTACTTTTCGTGACTTGATTCACAAGGGACCCAGCTTTTGAACACAATCTTTCCATTATTGGGAAAGAGAGAAAGTTTCTAAAAAATTTAAAACAGAAAAGTTTTACAAGAAAAGTTTTAAAAAGCTAGCCATTTGTACATTGAATTGTTTTGTACCTTCTGGACTATCTCCGTCTCCTGAGCGTTGGGTATCTCTCCCCTGAAGAGGTATACGTAGGTCCTGTTGAACACCTCAGGGTCTGCTCACGGCACCATGCCATCACACACTCATTTTTAAAATACACTTCAGCTCAGGCTCAGTAAATTTTTTTTCAAATGATATAGCTTAGCAAAATTATATTAGGAAGAATTTTCTGTTTATTAAACAAAATAGCATCTTTTTAGTATCAGGAACTACCAGGCACAAAAATTCTCAAATGAAATGAAACATTTGAAAGTTAATGTTTGATTGGAAATTACATTGTGATTTAATTCCTCTGAAATATTTTACTACATAAATAACAAATCTCATACATATATAATCATTAGATTATGTCAAAACCTTTCTGAAAATCTAGCAGAAGCAACCTGTGAATAAGATAAAAAATGCCTATGCTTGTAGTAACTTCACACATTTATATGACCCTTGCTAAATTTTAAATTGCATAATTTTGTTGATGCATAAATTGCATAATTTTGCCAATGATTCATAAAAGTTTCCAGTGAAATTTGAAATGATGTCTTCCACAACAACTTTTGGAGAATTCTGCCCAATATTGTAGATTGGGTCAAAACCACCACTAACAATTGGAATTTAGCAAAACATAACATCCTGTAGAATCCACTGTGCAGAGAGTGGATGAATATAGCAAGATCTTTGGCTACGCTTCAATAGCAAAATTTATGCCTTCAGAAGATCTTGCCGACACATTAAGATTGAAACTTTTCCATTTAATATGTTTGTCAGTCTTTGGCTAACTATTTAAAAAAAGTAAGGTTTCCGGTATGTTGGATTGATCAGTATGCAGTGAAGCTTGTCTGGAAATCAGTTGCAATGAGTTCCCCCCAAAAAAATGTAAACATCAAGTTTACGATTACGTAGTTGCGGTCACATTAGAGTGGTCAGACTGCATTATCACATGTTCAGTTAACACTTGCTGTACAATCGGACTGTTTTTAGGGTAAAATTAGTTATTTGGAGTAACACGTGCATGCAACCTTGTAAATAAGTTGGTGGCTTGTAAATAGTTTTTAATTACTCAGCGTAAATGGCTTTTCATTAAAAATTACCCGGCAACGCATCATAAAATTACCCGGCGACGCTTAGGGCTTAAAAACCCATATATTGGCGACGCTGCATCCACCCTCTGCACCATGGTGTAGAATAGGGACAGAAGCCATTCAACTTCATTCAAGGATAAGCAAAAATTGCCTGTTTTCATTTAGCTTTTTCCCAAAAATTAAGCAATGTCTAGCAAATTTGTCACACTTTTGCCAAAATCAGGTTTTCTAGACCCAACATGTTATCAATATTATTGAAGATTTGATGCTAGGATTATTGATAACTGCTAGCTTGCTAGGTACATATCATGCCCCCCCCCCAAAAAAAAATTGCAATGAAATATTCATAGTGAAATGCATAGGCAAGGTCCACTGAAAATATAGATTTAAATTCTATTTTGCCATCACTGTAGTGTCCCCAAACCCAAATGCCTTTGGACATTTTATCATTTTTTGCACCCTATCCCTATGCATATCTGAATTTCTGAAACTAAGCACAGGCCAACTGGCAACTGCCAACACAGAAGCAAAAAAAAAATATATATTTTTTTAAATTTTTAAATTAAATTTCTTGACACAGTTTAAAATATTGTTTCAAAATACAGTTCAAAATATTATTTACTGTCTAGGCTATATGCTGGTGCTGTGTCAAGATTAAAAAAAATCATACTTTATTAGCTATAAAATATTCATATTGTGTCTCAAATAGGTACTACCAAATTTATTTGATAGGTAAGAAATTTAAATAAAATGGCATAAATTAGAACAAATATATAATTTATTGAAACTAATCATAAATTTAGGTATACCAAACTGGAAAATCCTGCAGCACAGCAGAACTTAGAGAAGTCACTTTAGGCTTTAGCTGGCAACAGCAGCCAGCAGGCCTAAAATTGATTTGTTTCACAGGTAATTTTCAGGAATCGTGGATTTGTGGGTAAAAATTGGCCATTTTACATTTTTACTCATATTGCACTGAATAAATTTGGCAAAGGCTATGGGAAGTGAGGGTGGGTGAAATTTGCCTGTGGCCAGATTCATGGGCATTTCATTCCAATTCACAGCCTACAGGTGGCTTCAGCCAAATTTTCCACTTTGTCAGAGTTTGAGTTCTTCCCAAATTATTCATTAATGAAAGCTTACAGTTAGGCTAGGATGCTACTAGCCTATTTCTTAAAATTTCCCATGAAACAATTGTTTAAATTTCCCATCAAAATTTTACCTGACGTTCCACTGTTCCAGTTTCTAGATAGCTAATAAATGATGATTTCCATTTTCCACCAGCAATTTTTCAATAATTTGCCAATAATTCAAGTGTGAAATCTTAGAATAAAAATCATTTGAAAACACATCTTTGTACTTGAAATTTTCCAAGTATGCACAGTAATTTGGCACCATTTTAGAAAATAGGCTAGGTATGCAACACTGACAACTTAAAATGTAACACACATATCATCATATGATACCTATTTGAACTCACCATAGATTACAGCCAAACCAGTCTCATGAAGATATCTTGCACGCTTGTACTTGAAGATCCAAATTGTCACAACAGTCAGAATTAACAAGAATGTATACAACAAAATATTTAAACTGTCTATTCTATGGTTGTTTTGAATTTTCTTTTCAGTTTCTAAATCAGTGCTAACCATAGACGCTATGCTACTTTGAATTGTAAAAACGAATACTAAACAAAAGGCCAGCGGCCCCAAAGTCTCTACTCCCATACTGAACTTTACGACGTATTATATTTTCAGCCAAGTTACACACACATGAATCGGCATGAGGTATAATTCCTCTGCATTTTGATTTGCAATGAGTGACAGACTATTGCAACATGGTTCGCCAGCTGTCAACGGCGATAACAGCTGTGAACTTCGCGAACAAATCTTAGAGCGAAATGGGCTTCATAGAGTCGGCAACTAAATACCAGAAGGGTTTGAATAAATATAGACAAATACTCACCTTTTTATAAGAGGAAATTATATATTAAAAAAGTGAATATTGTTGTCATAAATTAATATACGATAGAAATCTAATGAAATATTTCTGCGCTTGTATAACAGCTATTGAATGAGTGTGAAGCAAAATGCGCATCATATGTATTACTCAATTTTTATCATATTTTTTATTAAATCAGGTAAATAATTATACGTTAAACAATCTATTGGGAATTTTGCAGGTATAAATTTCTCGCACCGAAGAGCTCTAATTAAAAACCTATTTTTTCATTCACAACACGCTCCTTCGAATTTTTATTTTTTTGTCCACTTCGTTCTAAAGTTTCAGTTTTAAACGCTAAGTTTTATAACGTCTCTGTGAGTTCCCGGCTATGAACAATTGCACGGTCGAATCACAGACAGGCAATACGCCAGTGTATCGTGCAGAGTTGAATTGCATACACAATACCTAAAAATCTGAGCTTTAAAAACATCTGGTGCTGTTGATCTAAGCGTAATCTCAATAAAAACTATGATTTTAATTTCATGGAGATCGATAAAAATTGGCAAACTTAGGCCACGGTAAGCATCCAGCTTTGGCGTTATCTTATCAAAATATCTTTTCAGTTTAGTAGTAAGTTCATGCAGTGGACAGCGATGACAATCCACAGCATCGCGTGATTGCTCATGCAGTGCACAGCAATGACAATCCACAGCATCGCGTGATTGCTCATGCAGTGCACAGCAATGACAATACATGACTTGGGTTATTAATAATCGTTTCAAGGAATTTTCTGCGAGATGAAATGTCTACATTCAGGACAGCAAAAAAGTAATAAAGTCAGGAGAATCAAACTAATTAAAAAATTAGACTTTAATTAGATCAGCAAATTACCAGGGTAGATCTACTTGAAAATACAATTGGGGTAACAAAGCACGGCCAACAAACTTGATCGATATTGAACATATAAATTAGCCTCGGATAACATGTTGTTCTTTTAAATACTCTCAAACATACTGTGAATAACTTTTGTAAGAAGTGAATTGATGATATAACGAATTAATGAATTATATAACTAATTATTGAATTAAATAATGAATTAATGATAACAGTTGTAGGGTCAGAAATTTTTTTTAATAAAATATACGTAAAAGTTGAATTAATTTGGCGCGAAGCCACAAAAGACATAACATTGCTATCTCTCTCTTGTCTACTATATCTAAATATTGATAACAGGTCCATGAAGATAAAAAATTAAATGACATCTACATAAACGCGAAGATAAATAGAAGTGCGTCACTCTGCCGTGACCGCTTCTATATTGTCAGAGACACACACAATTTAACAATAACTTTTACCTATAAAAAGCATCTTACTTCTAAACAAATTAATCAATAAAAGTTTCTCTACACAACACATTATTATATTAGATATTTACCTTATTATACGTAATTCTAGAAGATATGTAACATTCCTTCACAAATAGCGGCGGATGTGAGCCGTCAGCAGACGGTGATGACGTCAGCAGATGGTGAGCCGTCAGCAGACGGTGAGCCGTCAGCAGATGGTGAGGCGTCAGCAGATGGTGATGACGTCAGCAGATGGTGATGACGTCAGCAGATGGTGAGCCGTCAGCAGATGGTGAGCCGTCAGCAGATGGTGAGCCGTCAGCAGATGGTNCCCAGTACGCCGCCCAGGGCGCCCAGCAGCACGAGGCTGGACTGTGGTGGTGATGACGGTGGTGGTGCAGGGTGATGCATCACCACCACCAGGGTGAGGTAGTGCGCTGCACCAACCAACGCACCACCCACACCACTCGCCACGGTGCCCCACAAGCTGACACCACCGTTGGTGCCTGATTAGTGATGATTAGTGATGCTGGATTAGTGATGCTGGATTAGTGAATGCATAATTCAACAATCGTTCACTGACTGAACTGCGACGGAATTCATTATAATCTTCATACAACCAAATCATTCATATCAATGAATAATAACGCTGAATTAATAGGAAATGCGTGGAGGCAACATAATGTTCATGAAGCCAATAATTCATGTTAATGAACTCAATTAATTGTAATAGTTGATAAGTCAACTAGGTTAGGATAACTAGGGATAACAATCTAGCAGCCCACCCCTGGGCACCCTCCTGAAGGTGGTTATGAGGAGGGGGTCGCCAGCGCCCACCACGGTGCCCACCTCCGACGAGAACGTGTCGCCCGCTGCACACGACAAGCTTCCTGGCAACGATATTATGTTGTTATCATTATATTGTTATCATCATATTGTTATCATTATATTATTATCATTAAATTGTCATCTTCATATTATTAGCTGTCGCCCGCCGCACACGACAAGCTTCCTGCCGACGACATTACCTTGTTATCATTATATTATCATTATATTGTTATAATTATGTTTTTATCACTATATTGTTATCATTGTATTATTATCATTATATTGTTATAATTATGTTTTTATCACTATATTGTTATCATTGTATTGTTATCATTATATTGCTATCATTGTATTATTATCATTATATCGTTATCATTATATTATCATCAATTGACTTATCATTTTATCATTATCATTATATTGTTAGCTAACATTAAGCACATATATACTTAAATACCATTTAATTTTGCGTGTAGTCGTTTCCGCCATTTTAATTCATTTATTACCGGTATTTATTTCGATAGCGGAACAATATTCATTGTATCCTACACGCCACAACAGCGGCCCGTATTGCAGGATGCCTACAGTCCTAACACATCCTAAATTTTAAATTTTTGTATTTATCCTTCACATCAAAAATAAAATGTTCGGGCTTAAAGCGTCTCACGATGATTTCGGGACAAATAAAGACACTTTTTTTTGGTCTCTGTATAGAACCCTGTATGAACCACAGATAATCTCAAGTTACACAAATACAAGTACATATAGAAAAATATTATAATCATTATAAATCAGTTCATCTATTTAACAGAGTAATTACTATGCGATTACAGAGGCAACACTTGGTGCTTACTCTAATAAGAGGTTCCGGTGAAATGAATCTAAATACTAAAAGTTGGAATTAAGTTAACTACTGCTGTTGTATTCATCGAGGTGACGTTCATATATAAACAAAATCTTATTTTTACAATTTAAATCTAATTCTAAATTTCTAAATATTTTATTACATCAATTCAAAATCCTGCGAGAGACCGCTACAGGCTTAATTAAAAGGTATGCACAAAAAAATTTTTGATGTGATGTCACCAACCGAGTACAGCGATGGTGATGAGGGAGGCATGTGTGTGGTGACGCAGGTCGAGGTGATGTTCACCAGCACCACACTCGAACAAGTACACCACACTCATCACACTTGCTGGACCTGCTGTACACAGCACCTGCAGCCAGTCACGCTGTCCTCCTGTACATGTGCTTACATTTAGTACATTTAGTGCACTTGTGGTGCTACTGGTGCACTAGTGTGCTAGTGATATAACATACATATTACTAAGTTCACTGACTGAACTGCGACGGAATTCATTATAATCTTTTTACAACCAAATCATTCATATCAGTGAATAATAACGCTGAATTTATAGGAATTGCGTGGAGGCAACATAATGTTCATGAAGCCAATAATTCATGTTAATGAACTCAATTAATTGTAATAGTTGATAAGTCAACTAGGTTAGGATAACTAGGGATAACAATCTAGCAGCCCACCCCTGGGCACCCTCCTGAAGGTGGTTATGAGGAGGGGGTCGCCAGCGCCCACCACGGTGCCCACCTCCGACGAGAACGTGTCGCCCGCTGCACACGACAAGCTTCCTGTCGACGATATAATGTTGTTATCATTGTATTGTTATCATTATTATATTATTATCATTACATTGTTAATCATATTATTATCATTAAATTGTTATCTTTATATTATTGTCATTATTCGTAGTCATTTCTGTCATTTTAATTTGTTTATTGACGGTATTTATTTTAACACACATCCTAAAAATTTAAAAAATCCTAATCCCATCCTGACACATCCTAAAGATTTGTATTTGTCCTTCAAATTAGAAATAAAATGTTGGGGCTCAATTAAAAAGTACGCAGAAAAAATGTTAATGTGATGTCACCAACCGAGTACAGCGATGGTGATGAGGGAGGCATGTGTGTGGTGACGCAGGTCGAGGTGATGTTCACCAGCACCACACTCGAA